CAGAGTAGGCCTGAGGTTGGGACTGAAGGGTTTGTCTTGTTACGATCCTGGTTGTTTCCCAAGTGCAAATTCACAATGAAAGACAATGCCACCCAATTGCAAAAGAAATGAAAGCACTTGCAAAGAGATAAAGACCAGAGGAGAGGGAAAGAAGAAGAAGAAGAAGAAGAAGAAGAAGAAGAAGAAGAAGAAGATATACACCAGCAAGACCAATGACAATTCCCCCTTCTCTCTCCACCTTCCTCCTCCTCATTCACTTCACCAATCTTATTCTTCTCTCAATAATAATAATAACAACGAATGGATGAACCAGAATCAATATCCGAAGTTCCCTCTTACTGCTGACTCAACTCAACAACAACAACAACAACAACAACAACAACAACAACAACAACAGTCCACCATAGCTATGGCTTCCCTCCTTCACCCTCCTCTCTCATGCATAGGCTATGGCGGACTGATGAGGGCCTTGCCCTGACATCCAAAGGACAACCCAAAGCAGCTATGGTGCTGCGCTGATGTCCAAAGGACAACCCAAAGCAGCTATGCCACTGCTGACTGGTCCGCCATGCCTGACTCTGCCTCGAGCTTCCTTGGTGCAGCACTACCCCAACTGGGGCCTTCCAGATGCAGCGCCCAACAAGGTGATGAAGATGGTGTCTACCATAGCCAGGTAAGTGCCCCGCCACTCTCCTACCATGCCCCCTTCTTCCTCCTCCTCAAGCTGGACTGCTCGCCATAGCCAGGCTGAGCTCCAGYGGCCCTKCRCCTCCAAGCAGCGCTGTACTCTCCAGCGCTGCGCTCCAGCAGCATGTCGCCAATCCTTGCATACCGCAAATGAGGAAGAGCTCTTTGCTCTTCCTGGAGATATAGCCGCCTACCGGCCTCCTGGGCGGTGACTTCCTAGGCCGAGCGGCCTCCCAGCAACCGGTACCTCCTCCCTTTCGGAGGGAAACATCATTGCAGGCTCTGCTATCCTCCGCACAGGCCCTAGACCGGGGCTACTTGGATTGGTACCGGCCTACCGCTATCCTACCGCTACTGGGCCTCTAAAAATGCCAACTTGTCTTCTTCTGCTTGGCCTCCGGTACCCGACACTTCTACCACTACTTCAGTGGTACCGGCCTACCTGCTACTTGAGTGTTTTTCCCCTCTGCTCTAAGTGCCGCGGGCCTACCCCCCCTACTCGAGTGTTTTCCCCCCTGCAACCCTTCACAGTCACCGCCACAGGTAACTACCGGCCCTTTGGGGCCTTGCAACCAACAAGTACCCTTGCGGGTCACACACACACTCAACTGACAAGCACTCAGACAGGCATGCAAACCAGCAGGCACGCACACACACACACAGACATGGCAATCACAGCAGAATGCGGCAATTTCAGCAAGGCATTCATTCCAGCGGCAAATCCCAGAAATCAGCAGTGTTCTCAGTCTGTGTTTTTGGGGGGTCGTTACAGTCTGGCCATCCGTTTTTTTTCGTCATTTCCCACTAGCTTTGGCAGGGTCAACATTCAAGAGTACTGTTTTGCAAAGCGGCCTAAACTCACAAACTTGGGACATCCTGAATTCCATGTATCATTGTATCATCAAAAAAAATTCGCTTTCGAGACTGCTGTGGCAAGGCCGACTGAGTTGGTCCTGGAACAGAACTGTGCGCTGGAGGATATGTACCTGAACCCTAAAGGACACAACCTTGCAAGGAAAATGAGCGACAGCGAAATGACAGAATTCCAGATTGCAAAATCACATTGAAAACCAGATAGTCGAACGCTGTCCAGAAAGCAGATATGCACTGATATTCCACCAATGGAGAACCAGCACCGAATTCAAATGTCAATGAGACCATACTCTTGCCACCGCCACCATATGTATCCAGAGCCCTTCCTCCTTACTTGGCGCTCAGCGCCCAGACTACAATCACACAGCTACGAAACCAGCTTACAAATTGACAATGCAACCTGTTGACGTCAGCAGCAACCACCGAAGTACATGCAGATGTTGACCATGTAGACCATCGCCACTACCAGATACACGCCCTCACATCATCATCCTCATCTCTTCTTCACCCACATCTCCCCTCACACGAAGACCACCACCACCTCGCGCTGACTATCTTCCAAGCCCCAATCTGGCTACATAGGCTGGGCTATGGCGCTGCGTAATAGCAGTGCCCTCACTTCCCCTGACCGGGCTCACGTCACCGTGCACTTGCGACCGCATGCCCCGCGGGAGCAGAAGCTTCAGCAGCGCTAACGCACACACGCACAAGCGCCCAAATGCGCCCCCAGGCGCCCGACGCTTTCCTATATCGAAAGTGCGGGCGTGCTGCTTGCTCTCTGCCTCCGGGACCGAGTTTCCAGTAGCTCCACACTCGGCCAAAGTGTCTGTGCCCAGGCCCGTTCAGACAGTGGCCTGGGACCAAATTGGTTAGGCATGCCCAACCACCCAGGCACAAACGTACGGTGTACCCTGCTTCCATCACGTTGCTGGAAGAGCCTGGAAGGCTCACAATATTTGTGATTCTCGAGCGAGGCGGGTGTAACCAACTGGTGTGTGGCAACTGTCTGCCGCCCACCAAGATTTGCAAAAATTGATGAATTCAGGGCTCATTGGGATTCAGGGGCCCGCCTTAACTAGGGCGGGCACGCATCTGTTGCAGGGGCCTTACGGAGGTATGCCGAGGGTAGAAATCCTCGTATCTTTGTTTTTCTCTCCGACACCTCTCTGTGACCTGGCACACTGCCCGGAAAAGTTGGAGGGCTGATAGGCCCTTCGTAGAAGTTGTCAGGGGAGGGCCTACTGGCCCTGAAAAATGTTGTTGTTGTTGTTCTTAGAGTGTTATAGAGAACAGCATAACGGAAAATCAAGTGGGCTGTTACGATCCTGCTCAACCATTAAGGCAAAATCAATTTTAAGAATGCAAGACTGATAAACTCAGGCAGCAGTAAAAAGAGATGAAGAGCGGAACCGACAGCATAAGGATAGAAGGATAGAAGAAGAATTCAAGAAGAAGAAGAAGAAGAAGAAGAAGAAGAAGAAATACACAAGTTTGAGCCAATGCCATGCCCCTCTCTTGACTCCACCTTCATCTTCTTCTCCCCTCATCCTCCTGCTGTGTGCACTCAAAGAGCTTCCCTTTCAGCCTCACTCTTCTCTCCCTCCTCTCTTGGTTGCAAACTCGCTATGGCAGAACATCACTGGGAGCAGCAGATGTTCTAAGGACAACACAACCACTAATGTGCATCTACTGACTCATGTTCCCATAGCCACACTGAAGGATGAAGCCCAAGACCAACCGACACCCCTACAGGGGCCTTCTTGATGCAGTGCAAACCAAGGAAGTGAAGATGAGAGTCCACCATAGCCAAAGGTAAGTCTCCCTTGTGGATTCCTCTCCCTCAACCTCCACTCTCTTCCTCCCTCTGCATAGCCTACATTGCGGTACTTCTCCCTCTGGCCTCTGGCTCCACAGCCTAGCCTACTCCCTTCTACTGCAACTACACCATCGTCATAGTGGTCTTTCCTTTCACCCTCCAGCTCCAGCACTTCAGCCAGAGGCTCGCCCAACTCACCCTCTGGCGAGAGCAGCAGCATGACTGCCGGGGCAAATGCGCCCGCCCGCTCGTTGCACTGACTGTTATACTCATGACTCCCGGCCTTTGGTACATTTACTTGCGGCACTTCAGCCTCTGCCCGGATGAGTAGGCCTATCGGATGTTCCTGCCCTTTGGCTGGAACATCACTGTAGTCTGCAACTACATTCGGGCAGTGGGCCATCATGACCTCTTAGGAAGCTACAGGACCTTTCTAGGCCTACTGAGGTTTTGTAGCCCCCCCTGAGTTGCTGGAAAATCCTACTGGGTACCTGCCAAATTCTACTGTCGTCCTTGTCCGTCCTGGACTTCTAAAGCTTGTGCGGCATCCAATTTCAGTCCTACCGCTGTTGCTCTACCTATTCACAAGTCTATCCCTCCCTGACAGAGAAGTACAGCATGACAACAGAGTTAGTTCACGGGCATTTGCAAGCATCAGATAGAGTTGGGCACACAGGCTAATCAGCAATCACGCTTAAACTCGAAAACCACAGCAATTCAGGCCAGCGGACAAGCACACGGGCATACACACATCATCATAAGGTCTGACAGACTCAGAAAACAAAGCGAAACAGTGTTAAACTCGGAAATCTCAGCAAACACATCAATGACAGAAACAATCTCAGACAAATGGAGGTTGCTCAGACTGGAAACCGCATGGGTTATTACCGGCCCCTTACAGACCTCTCAGGACAAATATATCCATGGATGGCATGCCAGCCCCTCCCATAGTTTCTAAGGTTGTTGGCAAGGGATAGGAATAGCCCACCCACGATGTATATTCCAAGGGCCTTGCACCTGCAAACCTCAGAACCATCTACATTGTGACCAGGCTATTTTTGTTGGTCGCCAACCTAAGCAGGCCAATTGGATAAATTATGCTATTTATTGGGGACCAGTGGACCACATTCATCACCTTGCAAATTCGATGCAGTGTGTAAGAAAATGTGTAGCCATCTCAAAAATTGCTTACATCTCATCTTGTCCATGCTGACACACAACAGCGATTGCAGCTTGACCGTTCTTGACATGAACATGCCACAATCCTGACCACCGAGCACTATCAAAACAATCCTAGGCAGTTGGAACTTTGTGGTTCTGCACTTGATCAAGCCACAATCACCACCGTCTGTTCTGCGAGCGCTTCAGTTGTGATCAACACTTGATTCCATGCTTCAGGATAAGGGGTTTTATAATGTCTGAAACTGGATCACCCAATGGCAGCATTTGTGCCACCGCCCTCAACCCGGGACATGTTACCCACCTGCCAGCATTCAGGTGAGGGGAACAAGCCCGAGCTGAAACTGGTTCAAAGTTGCCAACGATACTTCTAACCCTCTAGGAACAAATCATTGAATGAAATTTGTACAAACACATCATGAGGGAAAGCTATGAGGTTACTTACCTCTGCAGAAGGGCTGTGCTCAAGAGGGATAGTCATGTTGACATCTTTACCACAGAACTCTGACCGGACAGCTATTGCTGAGTTATTCGGCCCCACTGCCCAGAAAATAGTTGAATCATCATCAACATATTGCACCTGCAAAAATGACAACCACAGGAATCATCAAGGCACAGCAACATGGGCAGATGCAGTGAGGACAACCATGCTCATGAGCCCTGCATGACAGAATAGACATATACTGGCACTCTACGACTCGTACGCTCAAGAAGCTCCAATACCTTCAAAACATACTTGCGGCGCATCCCGTGTGCACCACTCGCGCACATGCGGCGTGTGCATCCAGTGCGCCACATGGGCAAAATTCAGGTTCAGCCAAAAAAAAAAAAAAAGTTGGGGAGGGGTGAATCGAAGTTCCCACACCCAGCCAACATTAGGACGTTGCCCGCGCAAATTTTTTTCAAGGCCGCGGTGCCCCAAAAACTGTGTTGTCATGTTTACTGTACACAACTCCATGCCATCTTCAGTGTATCGCAGTCCTTTCAGAGGTCCAATACGGTCATGAAGCTCCAATACCTTCAAAACATACTTGCGGCGCATCCCGTGCGCGCAACTCGCGCACATGCGGCGCACTGCGCATTGCGCATGTGGGGCGCGCACCCAGTGCGCTGCATGCGCAAAATTCGGGTTCAAACCATTCAGCCAAAAAAAAAAAAAAGTTGGGGAGGGGTTGAATCGAAGTTCCCACGCCCAGCCAAAATCAGGACATTGCCCGCGCAATTTTTTTTCAGGGCCGCGCTGCCCCAAAAACTCTGTGTTGTCATGTTTGTTGTACACAACTCCATGCCATCTTCAGTGTATCAGAGTCCTTGGTCCAATGAGGTCATGATGAGGTGGCGTCTGTGGAACCGTTGCTTTCCTCTCGTTACTTCCAGATATAGAAAACGACAGAACTGACAGTTGTCTTTCCTTGGTGCTTTTGCTAAAAAACAACAAAAGAGAGAAAGATAATGACCATGACAAGTTGAAAACCAATCGCTATACACATGCACAAAAGACAAAAAATTACGGCGGTGTATCTTTCCATGTTCTAGTGAAAGATTCATTCTGATTTCGCACAAATTGGAGAGTAGTCAAGTGAGGCCCCATTACAACTTACCTGCCGCCAGAATTTGTAGGGCCTCTCTCAACTACACACGTCCGTTATAGTGCCTCTGTCACATAAGGACTGCAAGTAAGCTTCAAGCCCAGCTGTAGTCTGGTGCGATGCAAGGGCCTCATATTCTAGCGGAAGATTCATTCTCATTTTCCACATTCGGAGAGTGGTGGAGCAAGGTCCCATGCTACTGTTGTATGGCCCTCTCTCCACCACTCTCCAAATGTGCAAAATCACAATGAATCTTCCGCTAGAACATGGGAAGATCCACCACCCTATTTTGTCTTTTGTGCATGTGGAGAGCAGTGGAGCAAGGCCCTATCAGTAAAAAGACTAACCGTTCTGTTATGATCCTGGCCAATTCCAAAGTACACATTCATCAGAAAGTACAATGCCGTCCAATTGCAAAAAGAAATAAATGGACTTGAGAGGAGAGAGAGGGAAAGAAGAAGAAGAAGAAGAAGAAAGAAAGAAAGGAGAAGAAGATGATGTACACCAGCATAGACCAATGATAATGCTCTTCTTCTTCGCCAACCACTCTCCTCCTCCTTATCTCCTCCCCTCTTATTCAATCAAAAAATAATAATAACAATGTTGAATGGCTGAACCAGAATCAGTGTCTGAATCCCTCTTCTACTGCAGGTGTCACCTGAGGTCCACCATAGCCATGGCACCCTTCTCCTTCCTCTTCTCGAAGGCCTAGGTTATGGCGGACTGCTAGGGCCTTGCCCTGATGTGCAGCAGACAACTCGAGCAGCTATGGCTGCTCTAGCTCAGGCCGCCATGCCTGACTCTGCCTCGAAGCTTCTTGGCGTACCTCTACCCCCGCTGGGGCCTTCTTGCTGCACCGCCCACCAAGGTGATGAAGATGGCAACCACCATAGCTAGGTAAGTACCTCTGGTGCTCCCCCTTCCTAGTCATGTCGTGGTCTTCTTCCTCCTCCTGTCCTTGCTCCTTCCCCAGCAGCGCTGCTCCAAGCTAGCGCTGCTCCGGCCAGAACTCCAAACAGTGTGTCGCCAATCTTGCACACTGACAATGAGGAGGAGCACCTTGCTCCTCCTGGAGATGAAGTGGCCTGCTTGCCTCTAGGTGAGTGACTTCCTAAGCCGCACGGCCTCCAAGCAACCGGTACCTCCTCCCTTTCGGAGGGAAACATCATTGCAGAGTCCGATATTGCCCATACAGGCCTTAGACTCAGACTGGTTGGACTGGTACCCGCCTAGACCTAGCCTACAACTACTGGGCCTCTATAAATGCCAACTTTTGTCTTCTTCTGCTCGGCCTTGAGTACCCAACACATCTACCTCTACTTGGTGTGGTACCCGCCTACCTGCTACTTGAGTGTTTTCCACTGTTCTAAGTGTCGCGGGCCTTTTTCCCCGCCACTTGAGTGTTTTCCCCGCTGCAACCCTCAATGTCACGGCCACAGGTAACTACCGGCCCTTCGCGCCTTTCCGAACAACCAAGTGCCCTTGCTGGTCACACCCACACTCCAGCCCACAAGCACTCAGACAGTCATGCATGCACCTGCACAGACTTAGAAAACTCAGCAACAAGCGGGAAACTCAGTAAGGCATACATTCCATGAGCAAAACTCAGAAGTCAGTTACGTGTCTCAGTCCGTGTTTGGCAGGTCATTACACTACCCCAGAGCGAGGTCCCTTCCAGCGAATAACTCATTCTGAGTCCCCGACAAACGCATCGTAAGCAAACATAGCGAAGAGATTTCACAAGTACTCAGTAGCAGTGAGTTTTGCAGAGTTTTTTGGTACAGCATTAGAGGCTATCTGTTGCTCGTATGCTTTAACAACGCGAGGTGCGCTGCGCAGCAGTTCCTTCTTTGACATCCAATAGATATCGTCTAACGGGTAATACATGAAGTGAATCTGATATTCTGTTACGTCCCTTCCCTACGTGCTTTTTTATTCTATCAATCTTGTGACGTCCATTGATTGCACGAGGAATCCTGTCTTCACAACAGTCCAAGGACTCAGCATCACGATATATATACAACTTTAATGCATCAAAGATTGGGTACGTGGGGCAATTAATCATCATACCAATCATGTCTAGAACTTCCCACGGACCATAATAGAGAGGGAGAAGTTTGCGTGACACTCCCTCTTCTTCCGAAAATTCAGACATGTTGACCTGGACATAACTTCCCACTTTAATAGTCGAAGGTTGGCGTTTCTTATTCGCATGACGGATCATGGCGTGTTCTCTTGGTCATTGCTACAATGGCCACCTTGAGCAAGCGATCGTACTTGGCACTGAACCCAGGCCTGCCGGTCGTCAGACCAGCCCGCTGCTAAGGGAATGAGTAGGAGATCGGATTACGAATCTGCCAACCGTAATGCAGCCTGTGTGGCGTCATGCCAATGGAAGAATGGATGGAGTTGTTCAACAACCCCTTGACTGAATACAGCTCTTCATGCGACGTTTCCTGGTCCGGAATGATTAAGGCACGAAGAAGTTGAAGCACGGTCTGATTAATCTCCTCAGCAGAACTGTTGGCTTCGGGATGTCGATCAGATGTAATCCTCAATTTGAGGGTCGGGAGTTGGGACGTGAAGTCCTTCCATTCAGTACTTATGAAGCGTGGGTCCCGATCACTCATAAGGGTTTCCGAAGTTCTGGACTGCAAAATGTACTTCTGGTGGAACTCACGGATCACAACTTCAATTGGGGCATGAGGTGGCAATGGAATCAGATTTAGGAATTTGGAAAAACGATCAACAATGACCTTCACTTGGGAATAACCATTCTTACTTATCTTTCCCATGTCCGTGAAGTCGATAGACAAAGACTCTCCAAAAGCGTTGGGAATGGGAAGAGGTTTAAGCAGCTCATGGGCATTTGTCAACCTGTCGTAATAGGTTTCCGTAAGTCTTGGCCATGCTGAAGTGTCCACTTCGACCGTGAGCCAAGTCCAAGACGTGTGTGCGGAGAGGCTCATGGTTGGGTACACACAAACAGTCATTGTTTCCATAACGCCGAAAAACCAGTCCTTCACATTCGTGAAAATCAGGCTGACTGTTGGGGTCAACCCGCAGCTGCTCAAGGATCGCGCTAAGGTCTGGGTCCTTGGCAGTTTGCTCCACGATCTCCTACTTCAGTTTCTTCCGGAGGTCGTGAGAGTTTACAAGGCAAGTCATATACTTGGGGTGGCAAGACAATGCATCAGCAACTCAATTATAATAATAACCCTTTTTGTGTTTCAATTCAAAATAAAAAATGTCCATCTCATGGAACCAGCGAGTCAACGTAGGGGGCAAGGTGGTGTGCTCCTCGATCCATTTCAAGGTCTCATGATCTGAGAAGACCTTGGAATGGCGTCCCAAAAGATAGTGCTTCCAATGATTCAATGCCTCATGCAAAGCATAGAGCTCGTGCATGTAGGTGGAAATAGCTACTTTTTCGTTGGGCATGCATTGGTTGTAGTACTCGAGCGGCCGCAAGCCATCACCGCCATCTTGTTGCAACACTACGCCAATCCCATACTGGCTCGCATCCGTAGTGACTACGAACAGGAGTTCGGAATTTGCAATGTGTAAGATACGTTCATGCGGACTACGGGATAACTTGACAAGGCCTCTTCAACAATAGAAAATTGGGGCATGCTTCCGATACTATGATGCAAGACCAATGAAAGAATGCAATTCACTTCGAGGGTTGAGGCCACTTGCGTATGACCTCAACCTTGGTTGCCCCAGGCTCAAGGCCTACAACAGACAACTAGTGCCCAAGATAAATAACATTGTCCCTCCCAAACTCAGATTTCTCTACGTTGAGATGGAGTTGCATATTCTTGAGGATAGTGAACACTCAAGGTGCTTCATATGTTCCTCGATTGATTTGCTGAAAATTAGAATGTCATCGAGATACACAACCACAAACCAACCAATCTGTTCGCGGAAGACCTTGTCCACAAGGCTTTGAAAGGTGGTCGTCGCGTTCGCGAGACAGAAGGGCATTACG